ATTGTTCAAATATTTATTTTACAGGTTATAAGTACAATTTACAAGTTATTTTACAAACAGAAACATATTTTATGGAATTTTCTGCGTGACGTGACTTAAGCAACTGAGTATTTCGCTTGTAGGTGTGTGTGGCCCTGCAAATGTGCAAATTGTGAAATGTAAGTTTCCGATGACTTTTTGTGCGTTCAAAAACGGAGTATTTGTTCGCATTCGTTTCTAAATATCATGGAATTAGTAATAATTTGAGCATTTGTGCGTATATGAGGGAGTAAAAAGTAAGTTCTGTTATATTAATTCTATATTCTACAAATTCCTCGTTACACTTCGTTCATATTATGTAATGTTTTTGTCATATTTTCCGTGATGTACGGTCACTGTCTGCACTTATGGCGGTAGGCCCTTTATTTCATGCTCTTATATAAGTATCGTACAACGAGCATCATACACATTATCTAGGTTTTACGTCCAGCAGTCATTGCAAGCAGATCTATGTTGGAAAGTCTCGTTCCTCAGGATTCGATGTCGAAGGTTGTGCTGCTAACGATGGATGATAGCTATCGTTTTAAACATTTTGTTAGCATTTTCTCAGTTATTGACGATGGTGTTCAAAAGATAGTAACGGTAAACAATGTTGAGAAAGAAGCACGAGTCGGTTTTAATTTCTCATTCAGCATTGTATGTTTTTCTGTTGTGAGCTGTGTATTTGTGCATTTTTTCGATATTCAAGATGGTTTGTAATGAATTGTTTTTGATCGTGTATGCAATTAATGCAGTATTAGCAAATATGCCAGAGACAAATTAAGTTCTAATATAAAATGCATCTAAGTATAATAGACGTTTCTTTTAATTTCAGTTTACTCGAAAATCTCATATAAGTTTGGATTCTCCACTTTTTTTTCTAAATCCACGGGAATTTAACGTATGTTTGTATTATATATTTTTACAACTTCAGGCTATTATTTATTAATACCACGGGAGTAAAAATTACTCTGTTACATTGACGCCCATCATTATTTGATCTAAATCCACGGTGCCCTTAAGAGTTTCGGGAGCTAATACATCACATCAATCATAAACTCATTTTAAGTTTAGCACAGTATTAGGGTTGACAGATACATGACATTTTTGTTGTTACTAGTAGTAAATGCTTGCACCGTGGTTAGTTCGTATTTTCATTCTGTTCTTTAAGAAGCAACAGCAATGCTTCCAGTCTGGGGGCTACACGTTGCATTTAAAGTTCTACATTTAGCGGAAAATTGAAAAAAAAGTGTATTAAATGTACATTTATATAGGAGAAAAAAATACGATGTGCGATTAAGGAAAATGTTCATAAATGTAGAAATATGGATTTTAGTCAATTTTGCTCTCGGGGACTAGAATTATCGGCATTTCACTGTTTTATTCGAAGCAGGTTAGCTACCTCTATATCTCTTTATTGGCTACTTCAGACTAAGAAGCTTTTAATAAATTGAAATGTTTGCAAAATCTAAATATACTATGTTCGACATGTTTGCAGAACACAAAACATCCTTTTCCTAAGACTTCGCTGTCTACGTGTGACTTAATTGGATGCGGACCAGTTCTTTCAAATATTAGAAATAAAGAGAAAGACTGCTCTTGGTTCAGCTTTGCTATCACATTGCGAGCGAGACCGCGGAGTAAGAAAATAACTACTTGCACTGCTCCAAATTCAATTTCTCAAGGATAATTCTGAGAACACGTTTTGCCGTGGTATTATTTTAGAATGGCAGGCTATAACCAAGGGAATTTCCGTGACTGTGGGGAGAATTATCAACAGGACTCGTGCCTGCAGTGTCTGTGTCAAAAAACTTTCTCTCAATTCTCATATTCCCTGAACTCAGTATTTTTAGAAGGGATATTTAATGGTGCGGTGGGGAAGAGGAAATCTCTGCTCTCTCGGTCGGAGATCTCCACATTTTAACGATCGCCAGCTGCCACGCTAAAATACAGTGGCATGCAAGAATACGGGTATTCGTGCGTATCGAACACCTTTTTCTGGGGCCGGCAGTTTAAACAGATATTACTGAGATTCCTATTAAATCAGTAGTTTTTCAGAGACCAGAAGTATAAATTTTAAATGTTTCACTGAGGTGGCATAAGACATGACACAAGGGGCGATCTGGAAAGTTTGGAAGGTCAGTTCTCTTCGTAAAGTAACACCGCAGGTGACAGGTGCGCTTGGTCCGTGCACCGTGCAGCATTGAGTCGCGAGACACAAGCGGGATACATGTGTTGGGATTTGAAAACACTAGTGTGTGTTATTGTGGCTCGCGGCCCTCATGGCGGTAGAGAACGGCAGCAATTGCTCAATGGAAACGCCGTTCCTTCTGCCGCACTTTTTTGTTTTGTTTTTGTTATTTAAGGTGGAGGATAATTTTATAGCCAGATTCTCTAATTTTTCCGTGATTTCTCTGATGAATACCTGTCGAATGCTGGATCAATAACACAACAAACCTCGGACCGCGCCATCTTTCCTTCGCCATTCTTATCCCATCTCCTCCCCGTACACACACTTATACTTCCATCCACTACAGTATCACACGTATTAGAAGACCAGTCGGCATCTAAAAGCCTGTTGCGGCTGGGGCGATGCCTCGTTGACGGAAGTACCGGGAGGGGGCAACATCGTGAGCCAACATACATTGGCGCCGGGTCTTACATTTCTGCGCAGGAGGCACACTGCTACCTTTCGGGATATAACATGCGCTACACTTCTGAGATTATTGACCATAGTTGGCGCGCTCTGAACCACCAAATAATCGATCATCGGGAAACCAGTCGAGCGTAGAGCTTGTCCCTGCTGTGGCGGTTTCCCGTTGGGGGAGTTACTGGGAGGGGAAAACGAAAACCAATGAAGAGGTCGGCGCCGAATCTGACGTTCTGACGAGGACAGAACACCGCCACCTCCCGAGATACCTCATACTCTTTCGGGTCTAATGACCTCATTGCTCACCCCGTGAGTATAGAGGAGTTATTTGAAGAAGAGACATACGTGACAGGTCGGGAAACAAATGAACGTCATGCAGGGGCGTCATTGCAAGAAATAGTGATGAAACCATTTACAAATGGAGCTAACTGTAAACGAACGCACCGACAAAACGAGTGCACGGACATAACCTGCAGTTGTGTTGCCAGCAGTTGCCAAGCAGAAGTTGTCAAAGCGGTTCCTCCTTATAGTAATCGAGGGCTCCTTCCCACATGGCCACAGTCTCGCGCTTCCTGTCAACGGCAGGGCCCCTCCCACGTCGTCACCGCCGCTCGCCGTGGAAGGGAGAGGGTTTGGTGGGGGTAGGGTTCGCCGACCCGTCGACTACGACGAACAAGGAGAAGCAGCAGGTAAAACGCCGCAACAGAGTGTTCCAGTGGAAGACCTCCATTTAAACCAATGCTTTGCTAGCGGTGGCGCGCCCTTTCGTGCTACTGGTGGCGGGAGTCCTCCGCCGAACACCTCAGCAGCGCGAAATCGCCGCATTGTTTCCGCCGCCGTTCTCCATTTAAACCAATGCTTTGCTACCAGCCTCGGCGTTCGGAAGCTCGAGGCAGTGGCGACGTGGGAAGGGAATCATAGGCTACTCGCAAAATGAGACGCAGGTTTCTGATAACCACTGCGTATTGGACCCGCGCTTGTGTAGTGGTTACCGGAAACTCACCATGATCCCCGCTGCGTCAAGTCACGGCCCTGCGTCTCATTTCGCAACGAGCCTAAGGACCCCTTCCCACGTCGCAACGGCGCCGCGCTTCCGAGCGCCAAGACTCATAGCAGGGCATTGGTTTGAATGAAGACCTTCCCACGTGCAGCGGGCGGGCGCTACTGCGGCAAGCGGCGGAGAACTCACGCTACGCGAAGGGGAGGAGGGCGTACGCGCCACGCAGGATACAGGTTTAAATGGTAGCCTTCCCACCTGTGCCGCCGATCGCTGCGTTTTGTTCGTCGTGGCCGGAGAGTCGGCGAAACCTATCCCTGCAGAACCCACCCCCTTCCTCGGCTAGCGGCGGTGCGGCCGTGGCTGCAGCGGTGGCGGCGTCGGAAGGGCTCTGCTGCTTGACGGAAGCACGCCGTTGTCGCGACGTGGGAAGGCGCCCTAAGGCGCCTAAAGCGCCTTCCCACGTCGCGACGGCAGCGCGCTTCCGTCAAGACTCTCGCCATGCGAAGCGGAGGAGGGGGTACGCGCCACCGCTAGCAGAATACAGCTTTAAACGGGAGCCTTCCCACTGCGGCCGCCGGTCGCTGCGTTCTACCTGCTGCGGTCCCTTTGTTCGACGTCGCCGGAGGGTCGGCGAAGAGTTCTGTTGATTGACGTACGCGCGCTGCCGTGGCGCCGCGCTTCCTTCAAGAAGCACAGCCCTTCCGACGCAGCCACCGCCGCAGCCACGGCCGCACCGCCGCCCGCCGTGGAAGGGGGTGGGGTCTGGAGGGGTAGGTTTCGCCCACCCTCCGGTGACGACGAACACAGGGAACGCAGCAGGTAAAACGTAGCGACCGGCGGCACAGTGGGAAGGCTACCATTTAAAGCTATATTCTGCTAGCGGTGGCGGGCACCTCCTCCTCCGCTTCGCGTAGCGCGAGCCCGCCACCGCTTGCCCGCGGACGCCCGCTGCACATTTGAAAGTCTCTATTGAAACCAATGCTCTGCTGCGAGCCCGAGCGTTGCTCGGAAGTACGTTGCGGTGACGGGGCCCAAAGAGCGCTACGCGTGGAAGGGGCTCTAACGGGCGCGCGCGCGTCGCGGCGCGTGGGCGCAGGTGCGCGAGCTGCTGGCGGCGCCGGCGTCGTCCCCGGAGGCCGCGGGCGCGGACGCGCCGCTGGCCGAGCTGTTCTGCCGGCGCTACGACGTGCGCGCGGGCGGCAACGTGCGGCGCGCGCAGGACCCACACGGGGAGCTGACGGGCCGCAACGTGCTGCGCCTGACGCCGCCCGGCGCGGGCGAGGGCGCGGACGAGCCGTCGCCCGCCGAGCGCGCCGCCCTGCGCGAGGCCCGCGACCGCCTGTTCGCCGCGCGCCAGCGCCGCCCGCGCCCGCGCCTCGACCACAAGATCATCACGGCGTGGAACGGTGCGTACGCCAGCGCCCGCCCGCTCTCGGGGCTCAGGGTGATTGTTTTAGCACGTCAACAAGATAGTTTGTTCCGTAAGCGTAGTACATGTTTTTGTTTGGGAGGTTGCGGTGATTCCCCCTCCCCCGCTGTGTTGCGAGATAAGGCGCTGACCTACTATCGGGTAGCGGGGTTTTCCCAACCAGGTATCTCCCACCAGTGGGGCACCGCCCCCTGCTTTAAATTCCCGACCGGTCTTCTGGCATGTGCGATGGTGTAGTAGAGCGTGTTAGTGTATGCGTGTGTAATGGGTGAGGATGGGATAAGGAAGATAAAGGCGAGATCGCGCGCGGTCAGTGGCCCGTTTGTTAGGAAACTTCTCCGGCATTCTAACCTGGTGTTGAGCGGATGAACCACGGAAAACTACGGAACTGAGCAGCCGGCCGCTAGATTTTTCTTGCAGACAGCGATTGAATTCGACCTAGCTGACAAGCTAGTGTTGCAAATCCTGCCACCGTTGGCACTCGAACCTAGGACCTCACGGTCAGGAAGACTGCAGGGACATCAGTTGATGCCCTGAGTCGTTTCTCCCTGTATAAATTCCCAGAGAAATACTTATCTTGGTATACTTAGTTTAGTATAGTAGATTGAAATGTGATGCTGTAGCTTTTTGTGTTTGTTAACTTGTTAACATTATTTTTTGAACCTGCCCTGACTTATAAGTTTTGTAATATTCACATTTCGACAAAGTCTTTCATACGTTTCCCCTCACTTGCTCCTGCGTGCCCGATTTTCGACACTAGCTAGATAGCTAGATCGAGTTTTGTCGCTGTCTGGAGGAGAATATCTAGCGACCGGCTCGTCCGATTGGTAGTTTTCCGTGGTTTCTCCGATCAATACCAGGCGAATTCTGGAGCAGTACCTTAACAAACGGGCCACGGACCGCGCACGATCTCATCTTCCTCTCCTTGTCCTACCCTCACCTCTTGCATACACACTTGCACCACACTACGACACATATCGGGAGACCGGTCGGGAACTTAAGAGGTTGTTCCGGCTGGGGCGGTGCCCCGTTGATGGGAGATACCTTGTTGAGGAAAACACTGCTAGCCTGTTCATCGCCCAGCTGGGGAATATCATATCCAGATACAGAGAAAAAAACATGAGCTACACTCGCGAGAATAATGACCTTAGCACTTGACGCGTTGGGAATGACCAATCAATCCAATCAATCAATCAATTTCTCACCCAGCCTCCGAACAGAATATTAAAGACATGAATTCCTCGAGAAGTGCTCATTTTAGTACTCGAGGGTGGATTGAAATGTAATACTGTAGCATTTTTATATCAACATTCTTTTTTGAACCTTACAGCTGCATGTCTTCTAAGTTTTTAACTATTCACTTTTCGACAAAGTCCCCGATACCTTTCCACTCACTTGCGCTCTCATGTGACTAATCGGGCGAAATCTTCGGAGGATAATTAATTATATGGATCCAATTAGGAATGTTTCATCTTAAGCATCCGCTGGTGGTCTGATAAAGACAATTAGTGTATGAAATTTATAGTGTATTCTTCTGTCATGTGAGTGTAGATAATTAGAACCTTATGACGTATGCATTAGGGAAATGGTGATATTAACAATATACCGGTTCTACTTTGTGTATATCCCAGAGGAGGCAATTGTTTAAACGAAAGTCATTGGCTCGTTGTCAAAAAGTGCAATTCTGCATACTCATATCTTTCTCGGTGTTTCATGTTATACATACTTCCGTAATTTCATTGCTAAAGTGAAATGACTGATACTTCTGTAAATGTAAAGATTAAAACAATAATGCCGAAGGTAAGAGCTGTCAATACCAGTTTCTATCACGAACTTTTTTTTGATATTGAGAAGATAGAGCGTCATATAAATGTGTTTGATTAAACTTCATTTCCATTCCATAATCATAAACCGTTTCGAAAGCATATCAGTTGAAATTATTTGCTCGCCCTTTTTCGCATTTATTATTGTTTTGTTACGTACAGTTCGTCATGAAAATATTTTTATTATACTTATGAATGTTGATCTGAAATACGCTGAACAACTCTATCAAGGCTGTTTATGACATCGTCTTGTGAAATGCGTTGGTAGTGTAACTACCCCTTTTTCCAAATACGTATTCTGAGTGCATGCAGTTAGGCGAAATTGTTGCACGAAAATGCGTTGCTGATTTTCATTAGTTTGCTAGTTTGAAGATCGCTTTCGCGAATGTGCTCCGCGCTCGTTTTTCCCTCGAGACGAACACCTTTCGCGCGGCAAGACGCGCTCTTTTTGCGTCGCTTCCGGTTTGGTCTGACATCAATCGCCGGTCCCCAAAAAAAGTGCGGTGATGAGGGCTTAATTTACGAGTAATAGGACCCAGTGGTCGTTAAAGTGGAGCAGATAGCATGTAAGATGTGGACCCAATTAGGGAAGCGTTTCCAAAAAGCGAAATGATTAATGGTTGTACGTCGGCTGGGAGGAAGGGCCGTAATCAACCCCCTGGCAGGGGAGCTTTGTCTGGGAAGCTGTCAAAGGGGCGGCGGCGATATAATGATGTAATCGGCGTGCTCCCGCAGAGGACTAGAGTTTTGAGTTGTGAGGATACGTATGTGGAGAAGATGAGGGTCAGGGATCCGTGGTTGATGATGGAATTGCGTGAGGGTCTGGTGCCGAGTTCCTACAAAGTGGCTCTTTTATATGATTATTCTCCGGGGGAGGGCTGCAGTATTTCTCGAATATTGAGGTTCAACTACCCTGTCACCAAACTTAAACCAATGTGCGGGATAATATTCGAAACTGTTGTAACAAGACAAACGTTTTCTGCGGTTTTTAATCGTTGTAAAGGTCTGTTCTTCACTGATTGAAAACATATTACTGATATATTGATTTTGAAATTGAAAAACGAGGTACTCATCAACTAATTGGAAAAATCGATATGCTCTGTCGAACATTACAATACTCATTAGCAGGTAACACTTTGTGCGATAATTCCTGCTAGACATTACTTGCTTTAAAAAATACTGGCAAGTTTTGTATGCGCGAGAAAGAACATTTTTACTTCGGCTCTTCTGATCACCCAATTTGTGCTCGAACTTTCGCTATTTCCCCGGTTCAGAGATAGGAGGTAACGTAAGAGATGAGCGAGCGACCACATAACCATGTCTGCGCGAAATTGATATTTAGGGGAGAGGCATGAAAAATCGGGAGGAAAACTGGGGCAAAATCTGCCGCGCGTGTCATCGAAAGCCAAGTGCCCGCAGATTATCGGGGTATGGAGGCCGGAGGGAGGTGCAGTGCATAACTAGTGTCGAACTCGTAGGCGTAAATTGACGTGCCTTGTTGCCAGGTGCCGGGGAGAGGGTAACAGGGTGAGAACTTGCACGACCTCGCATGTTGTGTAGTGCCGCACCGTTGTATGGCCACGGCCTCCGACCCGGAAGGGCGGAGGGGGGGGACAGGGGTGAGCGGAAGGGTAAAGGGCAGGGGATGGGCTGTCTGAAGGGAGGGAGTGACGTGATAGTGGAGGGTGGCGACGAGCGTCTCTGCTCTCAAGGGAAGAGCGTCTCTGCTCTCGAGAGAAGCTGCGCGGCGGAGCCGAAAAAGCTCTTAGAAAAATTTACGCGGTGGGATATAATCATTATGCGAAGATAGGGCCTTGATGTAAAAAGTGTTGTGTTAATGAAGGTTTGTGGAGAAGAGGTAGACGTTGTTCACGAAGCAGTGTGGTATATTGCTGAGTAGAAAGGCGATGTTTTAAATCGAACTATTTATATAATTGATGTAAATCGAAAATTAATAAAACAATTTAAAAATCGTGGCTTTAATTAAAAAATCTACTTTTTAGCAATTATTTTTCCAAATTGTTAATTTTTATGACCATTCATAGTTCGCCTTAATAAAATGCTTAAATTAATTATTTATAAAAGTGCATAATAGCAATTTATCATAGTAGTTGAACGTTTGAAAACAAAGTAGTGTTACACATGTTGCATTAATTGACACGTGCCTGTCAATTCTTCTAGAGATATTTATATGTTAGCCGTTCAAATAGGTCGAATGCTGTGTGAGGAATTGTAGCCGCGGACAGCTCTGACCGCTAATTTTTCTTGTTTTTTTCGATCAATATCAGGCGAATGCCTGACAACTACACTATCGGAAGCTTAGAGCTTGTCTTGGCTGGGACGGTGCCCTGTGCTGGTGGGAGAAACATGGCTAGGGAAAACCCCTTAAGCCGACACGTATGTCGGCGCTGGATCTCATCTTCCTCCGGAGGAAGGACACCAACACCACTACCTCCCGCCATAAAAAGAATTCACTACGCTTACGGAACTAATGACTATAGCACGTGACCCGTCCGGTAACTCGCAATAATCCATATATTAACCTGAGCAGTACTCTAATACACGGGTCACAGACCGTGCGCGATCTTTCCTTTCTCGTTCATCCCCTCCTCTTCCATTTCGAATACACATTTGCATTTATATGCACTACACTGCCACACATGTCTGGTGATTCCATTTTGTCTCGACTGGGACTGAAACGTGAACCTCGAAAACCTTGCAAGTCGACGTGTTGGTCGGCGCCGAATCTCACGTTTCAGCAGGGGGAGGACTAGCGTTACCTCCCGATTTTAACAGGCACTTCATTCAAGGGACTAATAAAAGGGTAGTTGACGCACCCGGAAACACGAAATAATCACTATCTTAAGCACCCACTCAGTCACTGTCTGACCCACCCACCCACCCATTCAGTCTCTTAGGGCGGCTTCCCACGGTGTGGCCGCGGCGCGCTTCCTTCAAGGAGCAGAGCTCTTCCAACGCAGCCACTGCCGCAGCCACGGCCGCACCGCCGCCCGCCGTGGAAGCGGGTGGGGTATGGAGGGGTAAGTTTCGCCGACCCTCCGGCGACGACGAACAAAGGGACCGGAGCAGGTAGAACGTTGCGGCCGCTGCGCAGTGGGAAGACTCCCATTTAAAGCTGTGTTCTGCTAGCGGTGGCGCGTGGCTCCTCCTCCGCTTCGCGTAGCTGGAGTTCGGCGTCGGCTGCCGCAGCAGCCGCCACCCGCTGCACGTGGGAAGGCCTCCATTCAACCCAATGCTCTGCTACGCGCCGCGCTGCTGCCCGACGGCCGCGCCGTGGGAAGGGGCCCGTGGGCTGGCTGGCGCGCTAACGGCGTGTGGTCCCGCAGGGCTGATGATCTCCGGGTTCGCGCGCGCGGGCGAGGCGCTGGGCGAGCCGGCGCTGGTGGAGCGCGCGGAGAAGGCGGCGCGCTTCGTGCGCAAGCACCTCTTCAGCGACGCCGACTGCCGCCTGCGACGCAGCGTCTACCGCGCGCCCGACGGCGGCGTCGCGCACAGGTGAGTCTCCGTCGATGTGCGCGCGCAATCGTCGCGATGGTGGAACGGTTAGCGTATCGGACTATTATACCCAAGGTGGCGGGTTCAAACCCGATCCTTCGTACGCCTTCCTTCGGAGGGGAAGTAAAGCCGGCTGTCCCATGTTAGTAGATTTACTTGCATGTTAAAGATCCTCACGCCTAAATGACGCCTCTGAGCTAAATTCAAATCGCCTGTTTCATCACCCAAGAAATACCTCCTTTCTCTGCTAGTAGGTGAAAGGAGCGTTGCAAAATTTGCGAGGTCAGTCTCGCCACGTAAAATAAGGCATTAATTCAATTAAATTAAATTCAAATTCACTGTTGGGGTCGCCCAGTAACCTTAGTTATATAGTCGTTCGTTTCATGCCTATTGGCCATGGGCTTGACGCCGTTTGCATCCAGGAGTTGTAGACTGTTACCCATCCAGGGTCTTTTGGTGCCTCGAGCGGATTAACTTTTGTCACTCAACGGATCATTATGTTAAGCCACCTTCAATGTTGGGATCGCCCAGTACGTATCCTTGAACGTACTTATTTAGTTATAAAGTCGTTCGTTTCATGTCTATTGGCCACGGGCTTGGCTCTGTTTGTATCCAGGAGTTGTAGACTGTTACCCATCCAGGGTCTTTTGGTGTCTCGAGCGGATTAACTCTTGTGACTTAACGGAGCATCATGTTAAGTCACAGTTACGTGACTTCACGGAGCGTGCACGTTAAGTAATTTCTTTTTGTTTCATTATAACTAATAGTGTTCGGAACATTACGAAGCGTGCGTGAATCATCGCGAAGCGTGTGCGAAAAGACTTTCGCATCCCGCGTCTTAAAAGTGGTATACTTGTACTCGAGGTGATTCGCGCTCTTATAGTGTAACCTATTGTTCTGTAATGTACATAATAAACATAATCATAATATAAATCGTAGCACATGAACTACTTAAAGATATAATTGGATGAATAATATGAACAAAAATGTTCAAAAAAATATTTTTTTAGATTTATATTTTATTTGCTATTATCATTTTCAATTTCTACAAAGATAAGTATGTTTTCAAAACAAATTCACAAAAATAATTGCAGAAAAGTTCGATTTCTTTATCGATTAAAGGGGACCGAATTTGTAATTTAATATTAGATATCTGTAAGCTTTATATAAACGTGCTAAAACTGAACGTAATTTCTCGCCCGTACTTTCACGCAAAATTACACGAAGAATACTCAAATTATGGAAAAATTGTTCATGACCTTATTTTAAAATCTGTCTCTAAGGACCAGAGTTCATGAAGGGAAACAAATTCTATCTTCATAATTGTAGTTGTAGGAAGACGCCGAAAAACTTCAATTTTTGTAATTTTCGAAAAATCAGGGTTGCCAATGAACACGCACCATTTTCTCAAAGTCCTTTACTCTAGGGATGCGACATCAATGTCGATGTTTTCAAAACATCAATGTTCCATCGATGTATTAACACCTTTGTTTTATAAACATCGATGTTTTGTGATCGATGTTTTTTTTCTTTTCCCCTGTTTTGTTTCTGAATGAAAAATTCCCATGATCACAATACTGTAAAAGTTGAAATATGAAATAACTGATAGTAACACTGCTATTCATGTGTTGAAACCAAAAGAATGCTGGTTGTACTATCTACAACGACCAAACTCACTAGCCCGAGATGACCTCTATGCCGTTGTATTTCCTATTCATATTCATTTTGCACATTGAGATATGACCAACAATTACGCCGTGGGCGTTAGCGTCATACCCTTATTTGGTGAATTTATAAACACGAATACTGTGAAATTAAATTTTATTGCACACGAATTTAATGTTGGAGGATACTAATCGAGTCCAAAAACATCGATGTAGAAAAACATCGATGGTTTTTCGACGATGTATGTTTAACGCCGATGTTTTAATTATGAACATCGTTGTTTGCTGACATCAATGTTTTCTTATCGATGTCGCTTAACCACTTCACTCTATCTACAACAAATTTTTGTAAAAAACGACGGAGCCATTTTTTTATAAATGTCTCTTTCTCAGTAAAGTACTCCCCAAAATTAAATATCTGTTTCAAATCCAAGGGGCCTCGACATCAGCCCGATAGATCGTGGAATATCAATTTTGGAAAAAATCGGTAGAACGATATAGCCTAGCATTGTTCGCAAACTGGCAGATGGTCAGACGTTTTGCCGTCTTTCGATTTTTCGGTATCCAGAACCCACAAAACATTTGTTCTGGCTACACTACGTGTTAGAATTTTTTCACCACTAGCAACTAGATTTATCCACTTTTTCGTTACTAGGGCTCTGAAATAAAGATTTTTCAACCGATAAAAGAAAAAAGTTAAGATAAAGAAGCTTTTCTACGGATAATTCGCCGTTTTTTCCCGCAGCATTACATAACTTTCTCTCTACTGCTCAAGCTATAGCGAGAAACTAAAAAGCAATTAATGATATATCAACGTCATTAATATAGTTTTGTAATCAATAGGATCGTGATTATACCTAATCAGCGGCCGATTTATTTCGGCCATTAACCCCCAGACACTTAGATCTTAACTGACGTCTTTCCCATTTCATTGGCCACTAGAGGGTTGATATAGGCCCCGTTGGAACACTCTGCACGCTGCACGCCCACTTTTTTCTTCCTTTCGCATCGATGATTCCAAATTGGCGTTATGATAAATGGGTGGGGTCCCGAACCCTGAAGTTCCTTCGATCCGGGTAGCCCTTTGTTAGCACTCGGCTTTGTCGTGGCAGTATCTTCCACTCAGGAGAAAGTGAGTGACTTGTCGCGCTCATGTTAGTGGCACATGTCTCCGGCACCATTCAGGACAGCGGGTACACGTCGAGCTGGCGAAACGGTCCTTCCCAGGTAATGGGTAGATGTTCTGAAGAGCATTGCGGTCTGACTCCAGATGGTAGCTTGACGGATCGTCTTTGCGCCCGTCATGGAGGTGAGAGTAAGGCGAAAAGCTAGAATTGCACCCTAGAGCCTGAAAACCTTTTGGTACATCCGAAGCAGTGAAGTGGCGTTCTGCTTGCCTCCTGAAGGCTGAGAGCACGACCGTTTTACAGTGATGAACATTTGGCAACAAAATATGAAATAATTATAATAATAATACTTATAATGGTCAGGCGGAAGAGCAGGCTAAATGGCCTGAGCCTCGCCATCAATAAAGACATTTATTTATAATAATAATAATAATAATAATAATAATAATAGCGTAGCGCGCTGACTTCGTAATCGGGAGGTCCGGGTTCGATTCCCGGGCCGGCCCCCCTGACCGGGATTTTCGTGGTTTCCCTCGGTCATAAGGCGAATGCTGGGATGGTTCAAAAAGTCCACGATCACCTTTCACCAATATCCTATCACCTCTTAATTGTCCCTTCACCTATCATCAACCTATCATCTCATAATTCACACTTCAAGGCGTGACAACCTTGTTGTAATCCAAGGACACAGCTGAAAAAGCTGATCCTGGAAGAATTACACACGTTAATCGTGTAGCGTGGTTAGTAATGGCCTATACGCCAATAATAATAATAATAATAATAATAATAATAATAATAATAATAATAATAATAATCCTACAAGTGAGGACGTGAGTTTCCGTCTGAGCTGTCGCGAAGGTTTCCCTTAAATCCTGTCTTAAAACTTTTTGAAATGTTAGTTTAAGGACTGCCGTTCTGTGTTACAAGAAGTTTTGCATCACTTTTCCCAGAGGTGATGGATATACGAGAATATGTTGCAATGTGGTTATAATGTTTCTCAACAATTACATAGGCCTGAGAAATTTAATTTTTGTTTTGTGTCACATTGTTGAAAACGTATCTAAACTTAAGTTTTGTGTGCTGAATTCCGATCTGCTTGCCATTTTTGCCTACCACGTACGGATTTCGTGCCATGCAGGAAATACATATTTCAGTTTTTATAATTTAGTGCTCGTGAGCATATTTTGAGCATGCTTGAAGTTATACGTTAGTCATTGTGCTTTTAAAACCGTCATCTTTAATTAGTTGGCGAATCATTGGGCTCTCGAAAACGCCTTCTCTTACTTTATTTACTGACAGTAACGGAAACTTTTGCACAATATATTGAAAACAGAAGCATTAATTTTTCTATAATATTCTTTATTATTAGTTTTCTTGAAAGAAGTAGAAGTAGAATGAGCTATTGGAATTGAAGCATGTTTATTACCATTGAGCAAAAGAACACCTTTTAGACTTCTTTTATTAGAGTCAATAAAAATACGCCAATCTTGTGGTTTATGTTCTTCCTAGACGACCAATCTAGCTGGGAATGTTCGATCAGAGCACAAATTCCCCTTCCCTGGCAAAATATATTTGAGTTCTTATTCCCGATGTATATCCGAGTAAAATGTCGTTCTTCGGTCTAAAATATTTTTTCTTTCAATCTGAAACCTGAAGGTTCACTCTTCTGTTTCGAAAGATCCAAGTCGCATACTAAATAATTAATTCGGCTTGTGTCAATAGATGTGATAGTGTGATCTTGTAACTCTCAGTGGTTTAGATCATGTTTTTATGCACTCTAACAATAACGGCTGGTAATAATCTCTAGTAATGCTCTAGGTGGTAAGGAATTGGAACAACCAGTTTAAGTGGCACGGGTGTTATTGCTGATGGCAAATTAGGATTGAATATGACTGATATATTATTCTTACTACAACCCGATACCTCACTCAAGACAAAAAAAACAACAACAAAAAAACAAAAACAAAAAACAAAACAACAACAGTTGTTGGAATGATTTCGTTGTTCTCGCCCAGCCGTAGGGACACCAATTGGAATAAATGAACGACGTTCGTTGAACCATTTATTTTTTAAAACGCATTCTTTTACATTGTTTTTACGTTCAAAAAAGTGGTACATCTAACTTATCTAACTATAATACAGTCGGGAATATATATATAATAGTTTCGTAATATACAGTTTACGTATACAGTAATAGTTACATGTACAG